GGAACAGTGGGGGGTGGGGACCGGTGGGCGGAAAAAAAAAAAAAAAAAAAAACCAAAAAAAAAAAAAAAAAAAAAAAGAGCAAAACTGATTAGCTTTAATCTCAATGCAAAATATAACAAATCCCAACCAAGAACCTTTCCTTAAAAATACCGCAAAATTAGATTTAAATGACACATAAGGACTGATGTTAGAAAGAGAACAATTTTTCAAGGTTTTAGTAATTTGCTTCACATAAAGAAACATCTGAGTCAGTGCATAGAATCTGAGGCAGGGCTGAATGCTATCTGAGAATAATGTTATTGCCTGTTGAGGTGGAAGGAGATGATAATAAGGAAGTCCTGTCACTAAATATATCTGGTGATATTTCATGAAAAAATCCTACACACTGTTAAAGAATAAAAGAGCTTCCATAAGCATTTATTCCAAATACATTTACTAAGCAGATCTAACATGACGGGCTCTATGACCACTAATGAATGTGGGCAACAAAATAGGGAAATCCCATTGATACTACAAAAACTGACTTTAGAAAACCCATGTTTTAGAAATGAATTTGACGATAGACAGCCAGCTTCTCCCACTTTCAAAAGCCCTTGCTGCGGCTGGCTGGTTAGCTCAGTTGGTTAGAACATGGTATTGTAACACCAAGGTGGAAGGTTCAGATCCCCATACTGGCCAGCTGCCAAAAAAAAAAAAAAGTCCTTGGCTGATCTCAGATGCCCACCTTACTGAAGTAGATTCAGACTCTCTGAAAGCTTTTACAGTTTTTTCCGACTACTGATTCATGGATACCTATGGCTGGCAGTGTACTTCATTTTAGAGGGCATAAGAGGGAAGTAACTTCAGCAAAGAAGGAAATGACTTCCATAAGGTCACATGATCTGGTATGGAACCAGGATTAGCCCCCCAAGATTGTTGATTCCTTTGGCCCATGCATTTTCCATTACAACATATTACCTTGTCAGTCATTTTATATTAAACCGTAACCTTGGTCACTCTCATAACTCTGGGTGACTTGAGGCAAACTCATTCTGGGTACAAAGACATCAACCAAAATGTAGGCTTTTCTGATTTTTTTTTTTTTTTTTTTTCTGGTGGCTGGCCTATTTGGGGATCTGAACCTGTGACCTTGGTGTTATAAGGCTGTGCTCTAACCAACTAAGCTAACTAGCCAGGCTTTTCTCATTAAATGTTCCTAGAATTATAATTTGGAGTAAAAAGGTTTACAT